AGATTGGGGATATGCATGATGTAATGGTGACTAGTTAAGGATCGGGAAAAATGGCTAGTTACGATTGTAGACACTTGTAATAAAAGGTGACTATATAGAAGTGAGGGAATGTTGGGAAGGGCAGATATTATGAAGTAGGGAGCTGCTGGGTTGGATAGTAACAAAGAATACCAACTGCACACCTTAATAATAAAAATATAAACTTTATTGTTAAATCAAAAGAGGAAATAAAAAAATGACACAATGCATATATATATATATACACACATTATGCCATCATTATATCATCAATTGTAAATAAATAATTAATTACAAGCACAAGGCACAATCACAATAATAAACCTCTTTACATGTGTTAGTCTCAATATAATCTCAAAGTTTTTATAGAAAAGCACATGCATAGGAAAAGAATTATTGAAAAATAATGAACAAAATCATGAACAAAATAAAGATACACTGTACAATAGTATAATTACCTTCTGGAGACTGTACCTCCCTGAGAGACAGAAACGTAAGCCACCCAACGTGGCCTTTTTAAGGGAAGGGCATATATGATAAAGAAAGTAGAGGCTGGGTGGGATGCATGGCAGGGAACAATGTAGGGGAGAGAGACCTGGACTAGTCTGTGGAGTTAATTTGTTAAAAGATAGTATGGATAACTTGGAGAGAGAGGTGACAGGGAGGGAGGATGATGAGTTGGGAAGCTGGAGGGAATGACGGTAATGACTTAGGAGGAAGAGGAGTGAGCAGACTTGCTTGGAAATGCAGTTAGTTAGGAGGTAGCTTGCAGAAATAGTGGATGGCAAACTGCGAGGGTGAAATTACCCAACACATTCCTCATATAAAATGCCTCGTGTAACTTGGTAGAGATGAATGCCCAGGACCAGGCAGCATGACAAACACACATCCATGACAATGTCAGTGCATGTGACTCAGGGGATAAGTGGCATGGCAGATTGCCACACACTAAATCTTTAACAAGAGTGTGTCCCTGCTCCTATGTGGAACCTCTGGACATAAACATTCCATACTTTCTATCTGGTGCATATTTGAGATGGATCATCTGTGAGTAGGACAAGACTAGGGAAACAGGAAACACTGGTTGGCCAGCACCCACACTACCTCATTACAGTTGTTAATATGTTCAAAGTACATAAAACTGTGCATTCAACAGACAATTTGTAGCGATACTCCAATAAACCAATGTTAAATACATTCACACGAACTTGTGGATATATTAACTATATCATGTGAGATATGAATATTCAGCCATGTCAAATATATGATCTCTATTGTTATGTTGAAAGTTTGCACTTGATATTATAGTGTCTTTCGAAAATTTATACCATTGAATTTCAAACTTTACATTCTGATCTTGCATGTACAACACATCTAAAGGCATTAATATTAAAAAAAAATATATACATATCATATTATATATGTTACTTGTACATCCTCTATGTCATGGTCATAGACAAGATAGTCCACAAACATCAACCAAATCAAAATTAACATTAATTATCATTAAAGGTAAATTGTCACTAACCAGGATTTTACCAGGCTATGTTTACATATCACTATATACAGGGAGTGCAGAATTATTAGGCAAGTTGTATTTTTGAGGATTAATTTTATTATTGAACAACAACCATGTTCTCAATGAACCCAAAAAACTCATTAATATCAAAGCTGAATATTTTTGGAAGTAGTTTTTAGTTTGTTTTAGTTTTAGCTATGTTAGGGGGATATCTGTGTGTGCAGGTGACTATTACTGTGCATAATTATTAGGCAACTTAACAAAAAACAAATATATACCCATTTCAATTATTTATTATTACCAGTGAAACCAATATAACATCTCAGCATTCACAAATATACATTTCTGACATTCAAAAACAAAACAAAAACAAATCAGTGACCAATATAGCCACCTTTCTTTGCAAGGACACTCAAAAGCCTGCCATCCATGGATTCTGTCAGTGTTTTGATCTGTTCACCATCAACATTGCGTGCAGCAGCAGCCACAGCCTCCCAGACACTGTTCAGAGAGGTGTACTGTTTTCCCTCCTTGTAAATCTCACATTTGATGATGGACCACAGGTTCTCAATGGGGTTCAGATCAGGTGAACAAGGAGGCCATGTCATTAGATTTTCTTCTTTTATACCCTTTCTTGCCAGCCACGCTGTGGAGTACTTGGACGCGTGTGATGGAGCATTGTCCTGCATGAAAATCATGTTTTTCTTGAAGGATGCAGACTTCTTCCTGTACCACTGCTTGAAGAAGGTGTCTTCCAGGAACTGGCAGTAGGACTGGGAGTTGAGCTTGACTCCATCCTCAACCGAAAAGGCCCCACAAGCTCATCTTTGATGATACCAGCCCAAACCAGTACTCCACCTCCACCTTACTGGCGTCTGAGTCGGACTGGAGCTCTCTGCCCTTTACCAATCCAGCCACGGGCCCATCCATCTGGCCCATCAAGACTCACTCTCATTTCATCAGTCCATAAAACCTTAGAAAATCAGTCTTGAGATATTTCTTGGCCCAGTCTTGACGTTTCAGCTTGTGTGTCTTGTTCAGTGGTGGTCGTCTTTCAGCCTTTCTTACCTTGGCCATGTCTCTGAGTATTGCACACCTTGTGCTTTTGGGCACTCCAGTGATGTTGCAGCTCTGAAATATGGCCAAACTGGTGGCAAGTGGCATCGTGGCAGCTGCACGCTTGACTTTTCTCAGTTCATGGGCAGTTATTTTGCGCCTTGGTTTTTCCACACGCTTCTTGCGACCCTGTTGACTATTTTGAATGAAACGCTTGATTGTTCGATGATCACGCTTCAGAAGCTTTGCAATTTTAAGAGTGCTGCATCCCTCTGCAAGATATCTCACTATTTTTGACTTTTCTGAGCCTGTCAAGTCCTTCTTTTGACCCATTTTGCCAAAGGAAAGGAAGTTGCCTAATAATTATGCACACCTGATATAGGGTGTTGATGTCATTAGACCACACCCCTTCTCATTACAGAGATGCACATCACCTAATATGCTTAAATGGTAGTAGGCTTTCGAGCCTATACAGCTTGGAGTAAGACAACATGCATAAAGAGGTTGATGTGGTCAAAATACTAATTTGCCTAATAATTCTGCACTCCCTGTATAATAAATATGGATTTGCATGGTGGGACAAATATAATTAAATGTAGAAAACCACATCTGTTTATCCTGCAACTGGGTGCCTCCATTTTAGCTCTTTGTCAGTCATTGTTATAAGCTACGCCCTTTACACCTGACAGTCAGCTAAGAGCAAGCTTATAGAGAAGAGGAGAAATTAAACCGTGCATCTATTTCTTCTCTTCGTTAGCAATGTTTCCGTGATTGTGCCGTGCCTGAGCTGGAGTATGATCTAATTTTGAAAATGTTTTGTATACATTTAAAAAGAAACAGAACATCTCATCAAAAGAAGGTTAACACAAGTTAAAGGTGATTTTCAATGTTTATTTAATGATGTTAATTCAAGTGAAATGATAGTTCCCCTCTAACAATGGTTAACAAAAAAGGATTGAAATACTACCATCTTCTAACAGGGCTGAACTATGAAGCATGTGGTATAAATAATATTGGAGTGCTGTGTTAGGCAGAGACTTATCTAGTTTATTTGGCATGCAGGGTGGGGAAATCTGTTGGCAATCTCCTGAATTGTACATTTTTTTGTTTATCGCACCACCCCTGTTGTGTGTATTTGCACCCTCTTGTCGCTCTGTGTGTGCCTACTAACCAATCTTACTCTACTGTGTTTCTTTCATAACCACCGTAGTGTGTGTCTTATCCTCCTTTAACTTAATTTGCCTCTTGACCCCCTCTAGCCCTTTGTGTGTCTTAATCCCCCTTTTAACTCTTTCTCCCTTTTTTGTATGTCTCCTTGCATATTGTGTCTCTTAACCTCTTTTTACTCTTGTCTTGTGTGCCTCTACCCCCTTACCCCTTGTGTGTCTCTTCACTCCACATTTACCCCTAGTGTGTCTCTTAATACCACTTTTACCCCATTGTGGGTCTCTTACCCACCCTTTTATTCATTGCATGTCTTCTGACCCCTCTTTACAACATGTGTGCCTCTTAGCTCACATTTTTATCATTTATGTGCCTGTTAACCTTCTTTTTACCCTGTGTATGCCTCTTATCGCCTAGTGCCTTTTAATCCCCCTTGTGTGCCTCCTAACTCCCTTCTTACCCCATGTGTGCCCTTTAAGCCCCCTTACTCCTTGTATATCTCTTTGTACCATGTGGGTGCCTACTAATCCCTCTTTAACCCCAGTGTGATTCTTAATCCCTTCCTTAATCCCATGTGTGTCTTTTAATATAAAATCTTTATTTTGTTTGGGCAAAGAAACAACGCTTTTAATATTACATGTAATTTACATCATAGATCTACACAAGTAAATAGAGCAATCAATGGGATTATGTCCATTTTATTTATAAAAGGGAAACAAGTAACATTAGCCTGGTGAGACAAGGAAGTAAGTGGCTGTGTCCTGCTAGCTGTTAAAAATTAAAACCAGCAAATCCTGTGGCCAGTGGAGTCAACAAAAATAAAATATTCGGAACACAAACATAAAATATGGAGAATCACTTTCCATTTGAATACTTTGTTTAAGGGCCTAGGGGAGTGGACATTTTATCTGAGACCACTGCCCTGTGGGTTCAGGCTAGTGAGCTCATGAATGAGCCATAAAGGTATTATGGGGTGAAAAGGACACCACTTGTACTTAATATTCGCCGAGCGCAGAGTCATCGTGACTTGTTAGCAGGAACGTTTCCAGCCCAAGGTGGATCAGCACAGATCTTATAGGAACTGGAGCTACATCTCCTCAGACTGAAGCAATGTTTTGCTTTTCACGATGTCTTGTATTGCCAGCTTATCACGAAACAATGGGAAACGGACCAGGACATCACAAGGAACACCAGCCGGTGCCCTGTTAGGTTTGGCGAAACAGAAACAGCTGACTTTGATGGCCTATGCGAAGAGTTGGGGCAAAAAAGTAGTAAATAGGCGTTTTAGTAAGTGAGGCAATTCATGCTCGTCTATGGATTCAGTAATAATTATAATGTTTAGGTTATTGCGTTTCTGTGCATCATCCAAGGTGTTAATTCTGACCTGCATGGCTTTGTGGGATGCCTGGAGTTGTAGTACCAGTTCATTGGTGCCTGTCTGCTTTTGCTGTATGGAGGAGATGTTGTCCTCTTTGGCTTGTACTCTGGCAGTAACCACAGAGATGTTCTCATGGATTATGTCCACGTCTGTATTAAAGAAGGCTCAGATGTTGTGCCTTAATCTCCCCATTGGTGGTTGGAGATGACAAGCCTTTCTCTTGGTGAGAAGAGATTAGGCCCTCTGTTTGATGTATTTTGTTGGGAGCATTGAGGAGATCTCCATCGGAGGAGGAATAGTGGGGATCTGGTTGTGCTGCCATTTTGGGCCTACGTCTTATTTCCAGGACGTTGTTGATGTCGCAGCAGCCCTTTTCTGCAAGGGTTTTCAGCTTCTTAGCTTTTTTCTCATTTTCCTCTGATGTGTTGAGCCAGAGCTTGGGCAAAATCAGAGGGTATAACCTCTTCCTGCGCGATATATTTAGCGCCAGCAACGGGAGCACAGCCAACATGCGTCTACTCCCTTCAGTGTCATAGCCATGCCCCTTCACTTGTGTGTCTTTTAGCCCCCTCCATACCCCTCATGTGCCGCTTAACCCCCTTTCTACCCATAGGGGAACCTTTAAATTATCCTTTTACCACTTGTGTGCTTTAAAACCCACTTTTTACCCTGTGTATGCCTCTTACTCCTTGTGTGTCTTTTAACCTTCTTTACACTTTGGGTGCCTTTTAACCCCTTTTGCCCCTTAAGTGACTTTTTACCCCCTGTTTACACCTTGTATGCTCCCATCCCACCTTATGCCCCCCTACCTAATACTATAGTGTGGCCATGGAGCAGATAGCATCAGAAGATGAGGCTGCTCATGTTGCTCCACTGTCTGGAAGGATCGGCATCTGGTGAGTCCCAGGAGGCGGGGATAGGGCTGAACATAAGATCCGCACCCCCTCCACTCACATGGTAAGTCTCCAATTGCAGCCTGGGCAGAAGAACATGCATCCTCTGCAGCGGTCCACTCAGTTCTGCTACAGTTTGTGCTGTTTGTATACCCTGACATCCAGGGAAATCTGCCCCCACCACCTAGCCCATTACCACACTACTAGAATTAAATATTTCAACATCATCGTGGATCTGTTGATACTCACAAAAAAGTGCTTAAGATTGCATCTATGATTTGGAACCAAAGTTTATTCTCCTACAACATCTTCTTGACTTTATCCCCAATAATCCACTTGTAGTGCCGGCAAACATTGCTCTGCTCTGAATTCTTCTCCAATGACAATTCTTAGTATACCTCTGATGCTTTACAACTAGCCCTGTGTGTTATCTCTTTCTCTGTTTCTCACGAACCTCATTGTAATGATTCCAATGCACTAACTGCACTTCCCTTCACCTTTGCCAGTCATAGGCATTATTTTATTTATTGTTTTCCAACTGAGATGTTTGCACCTGGGACAATGATTGGCTTCCAGAAAGGTGAGCACAGCCAGTTTTACAGACACATTAGCTGCAAACGTGCTGGGTAGCCATCTGGAATAATCGTATTCTTCATATAAGAATTAATAACAAAGTATTTAACCAGGAAAGGTAGGTTCAGATTACCCTGGTTTCCAAGTATGTCCTGGGGATGTTACTTTTCCCAACAATCAAGGGATGTTACTATTACTCAATTTATAGGGAGATAATTATAGTAAATGCTTGGAACACACGTGTGTGTTGTGTGTATGTGTTGTGTGTTTGTGTGTTTTTTTCTTTTTCAGGAGCACTCCAAGCAACATTGTTCAACCATCCTACCTATCAATTAGGAGGCTTCCTGCTTCATTTACTTTGAACTATAGTAAGGGCCTGCGCTGATCTCAATGCTTGCCATTCACACACTTACACTGTAATACAGCTCACTCACAAGTGAAGGGTTGGCCAGTCGCACACATTCACAATTTGTCTGCAAAGCATCTCCATGAGAAGTCTCTGACTGGACAATATCTCGCACAGATAAAGAAGTCTATGCGTGACACTGACAAACATGGCAATTATGTAGCTCATATAATCCAGGATTTCCATATCCCGCTACCCTTTAAAAATTTTGAAAACATATGATAAGTATGCTTTTGGGTGTATATCTACTAATCTGTTTAATGCTAACTTACAGTTACCTACAATTTTTTTTTGCTTTTCTTTTTGTCTTCTTCAATTTCACTATTATGTATTGTGAACTTTCGCTGAACTGATGTGTACTTGTTTCTTTAGGGAATCACTATTTTAAAAAAATTTTTTTATTATGATGATATATTTCTTTATAGGAAAAAAAATGTTATTCTACAACGAAGGTCTGATTTTCCTAAATATACCCTATCATCAATTAGACGTATCAATAAAGAGAAAATGTGTCATATAATAAACTACACTTTTGACTTGCGTGATTTAGAAGGACCAGGGGAGCTCGGCAGCTATAATGTATGTATGTGGGTTAACATGTTTCTGTAAGCTAAAATACCTAATGAAAATACTATTTTCTGTACTTCCATTTTACTTTCTTATCTGTGTTGTAAATATCTATCAGCCCTGGAGCAATATAGATGTAACTAAATTGAAATAAATTAAAGTTGTATGTCTATTGAAATTTCATACAATCCACCTCTACATTTTTTTTAAAAACCACCAGATGACTGATTAGGATAAATACTTTGGGCAAAAAAAAGTAAATTAGTTTAGAAAAGGGCACATTACAAGCCTTACATTTTTTGATTGAAAAATCTTTTTCTAACCTACTTTTAGCTTGTTATATTCTCACAGTGTTCCCCAACCTAGTCCTCATGGTCCATCAACAGTCCAGTATTGATGTATTTCCCTGTTTTATTTCAATGGAGATACTGACAAAACCTGGACTGTTGGTGGGCCATGAGGACTGGGTTGGAGAACACTGCTCTACAGCTTGCATTGTCTTAATGTCCTAAAAAACAAAATGATATCATGTATATATATCTCAAGCAATAAAAAAAATTTTTTTTAATTCAGGCTGTGTTTTTATATAGTTTCCAAAAAAAGACGTAAAGAAAAAATGTATTCTACCAAGAAGGTTAATGCTAATTAATAAACATAATGCCTTTACTAACCTCCTATACCCTATGTTCTTATAAAAAAAATAAAAAAATGAAGTGATGTAGAAACAAGAATAATATTAATAAAATGTAAAAATGTTTCAAGCTCACAAATTAAAATTCACCCCCCCAATCAAGGTGACTAGGGGTCCCAAGCCCCTAGTCACCCACCCCTCCACCCAAATAAAACTATCACCTACCTACACCCCTCACTCTAAAAATAGTGAGGGGGGAATAAAATAACTACCATTTGACGTCTTCTTTTTCCTAAAATCTTAATTTTTCAGCCCCAAAAAGGCCAAATAAAAAACCATCATACCTGTCGAACTTAAAATAAAATAAAAAACCCGAGCGCAAAAAAAAAAACCAAAAGATTAAAAAATAGGTAATATGGGGGGCCTAGGGGCATTTGGGGGTGGCTAGGGGGTCAGTTAAATGTAGTGGAGGCAGGAGGGGGGTTAAAAAAAACGTGATTCGGCCATGACAGTGCCGCTTTAAAAAGGAATTTATAATTTCTATAAATATTCTCCTTATTTTTTCTGATTAGTTTGTGTAATAATCTGTTTTGCTACATTCAAAGCTGCTGTAATTCTGCTAATCTTGAATCGGAGCATCATCCTGCTGGCAGAGGATCGAGAAACATCGGCAGTTGGGATCTAAATCAAATGTCAAGGTTCCAAGACAAGAAAAATGAAAAACAAAATCTAGGTACCAGGTCAAGGTAATGGTAATAAGAAAGGGGGGGTTGACAATTTAAAGAACACACAATGCTTTTATATATTAGAAACATCTGTAAATAATTTCCTGTTTGAGAATATCTTGCTGTGACGTTTTATGCTATTTTGGTCAATGTTGCTACCTGTGTAGCAGAATCTCCTGGTGGGAGATAATTACTTTCCATGACCTTTTTCACAATACCACTTTACTTCCAGACACCTCTGCTGTGCTATCCTAAGTGGTGACACCTAATGGCGATAGCTGAGTAGTGATCTAAATTAATAGAATCCCACTAAGGGATGTCCCGAAATATGATGCTGCCGTGATTTTCCCAAACAAAACAACAAACAAGGAAGGAGATATCAACATCTGACCTTTATCGAGAAACTCCATCCACCGGCCAAGACAGCAACAGTAAAAGAAATTCAGTGTTGTAACTAGTCCTCTTTCTATCTCCAAGTCTACTGAGCAGATACAAACAAAACATCTAAATGAAAATAAATAAAGAGAACACACACATAAACACATTCAATATCAAGCCAATAACATCAGTGACACGACAGTAACGTGTATGCTAAAGAGAAACAGTCACTTTCCCGTAAATTAAGCCATTGAATAAAACATTGGAAATCACATAGAACTTGTTGTTAATGGGTTTTTTTTTTTAAGGGTATCCTCTGTTTTCCTCTAAATTTATATACCAGCTTTACTAGCAAACCACATTCACAATCCAGTCCAGTCCAACATTATATGTACTGCAAAGTAAGGATACAAGCATTCGCAAGGAATTTTATCAATGGTATGCTGATTATTCTATATCAATTTTCCCTTTCCCAATATCAGTTTACTTTAAGATATCATTGGTACTAAGTCTCAAAATTATCACAGATTCTGCCAGGTTACCTTAAAGGGCTCTGATGACAGACATTTTTAACGCACAGAATTGACATTAGGCAGTCCGGGAATTCTGTGCTGCTAACATCACGTGGGCCGGAGGTGCAACTAGCCCCCAGCACACAAATGCAAATAACTGAAACACTGCACATACATACTGACCAAATCCTTGAAGTGGTCATGGTGGTTTGATCAACCCTTTAATTATAGATTCATGGCCTAAGAGAGTACGTCAGCAGAGAAGCATTCTGAAAATACTACATGTGGATGCTGCTCTGTCTAAATGTCCCATACCAGCTCCAAAGATACGGGATTCCAGCTCTATTAAACTCTCGACCTGATGGGGAGCTTAAAGTTCTCTTAAAATATGGTTGAGGTCGTAACTACTTTGACTTCTTTTTGTTTCAGTGCTGTGGCTACTTTTTCATGCGTGTTAAAAATAGAACATTATGGTTCTTCAGTTCTATATATCACTTGCCCTCAGCAGAATTTGAATAGGCATGATGAATTCAATTACTATTATTATTATTATTGCCATTTATATAGTGCCAACAGATTCTTTATAATATTGAATTCAATATGCAAGTACAATGAATCTAGAGGGAAAGAAAGAATTGTTAATTTTCCCAAAAGGTCTCTTTAAACGTGTGTTTAAATATATTAGAGAATACTTAGTGAGTTTGAACCCTTGGTGAAAATAGGGAAGGGTAAACTGCAAAAAAACAGCCTCAAGTATACACTAAAATGTGTAAGAAAAGCCCAGTGGATGTGTCACTTGCTCTGTGTCAAATTTCACTTCTCCGAC